TGAGATAATTTAATCTAAGATCAAAGCCTAGGACCTACATATTCTGTAATGGAGATCAAAGTTCACATAGTTTGAAATTTTATTATTTAAGTTTTCTTTTAATTTTTATTAATTTATTCTATGAAGAGAATGTTATTTTGTGTTATATAATTATATTTATGTTTAAATAAAAAATAAGGAAGAACCTTTGGATAAAAGGAAAATAACCAGTATTGAAATATGCAGTGATTTAGTATCACTCATAATTCATTATTTGACACTTTAAGTGCGTATGGTGATTTAGTATCACTCATAACAAACTTTAAAAGAAATTTTTACATGAATTTTCTATAAAATAATTTAATTATAAAATTTTCATACAAAATATGATACCTGCGATGACTTAGTGTCATTCACAGTATCTCATTTGAGATTTTTAAGAACCCACGATAACTTAGTATCAGTTATGGTGTATCCTAAAAATTGCCAACAATTTTATTAATATTTTTTTTGCCTACGATTACTTAGTGTCATTCACAATATCTTGTTTGATATTTTAAAGGATCCACATTGATTTAGAATCACTCATGACATAACCTAAAATATGCTAAAATTTTATTATTTTTAAATAATGCACAAGAGAAGGGAATTTAACTAGTATTGAAGTTTGCAGTAATTTAGCATCACTCATAGTCCACTGGTTGACGCTCTAAGTACACACAGTGATTTAGTATCACTCATGGCAAACTCTAAAAGAATTTTCAACATAAAATTTCTATAAAATGATTTAATTATGAACTTTTAGTGTAAAAATTAATACCTCAATGACTTAGTGTCACTCGTAATATCTTATTTGATATTTTTAGTAATTTACAGTGATTTAATATCACTCATGGACTAGTTTCAAAGTATGTCAACAAATCTTGTTATTTTGAAATAATATACAAAGAGAATTTTCTTAACATTTGACAATTGCGATGATTTAGTATTACTCACAATACATCAAATATCCACAGTAATTTAGTATCACTAATGAATTTCTCTTTTTAAAAAAAAATTTAAAAAAATGTATTATCATTGAGACTCTTTTCTTTTCTTTTTCTTTTTAAAAAAATAAAAATAAATGATTATTTAGTTTAAAATAAGAATTGATATAACCTACATACCGTATGCCTAAGCAAGATCAGACAACCATACTGAGATCAATTACATGAACTAAAGCAAGAAAGGGAATAAACAGTGATGTGAAAAACTTTAAATTGTTGATAATTCCATCAAACTAAAAGCAAATATTTATTACGAGTAAAGGAATGTACAGGTAAAAAAGCAAGCCAAAAATTGTCAGTATATCAATTGAAGGAATAAAGGAACGTGCTGCGTACAAGTAGAATATAATCAAATGAAGCATGACATCACTAAGAGAGTGTATTACTTAAGCGAACATATAATGATTAATTCCTAAAATCCTTGCACTAACAATGAATTGTGGGTGCTTTTTCTCCTCCTCCTTTCGTCCTCTCTCCCAATTTCTTCTTTTCAATTTTTTCATCCCCCTTCTTTTTCTTTAGATATCTCTTTTACAGGCACTAATTAAAATTTTCTTACTTAATTACAAAATCAAGCAAAATAAGACAATTTTTTATTTTGATTTTTTTTCATCATTTCATATTTTAAATTTACATTAAAGGCAATCAATTTGATAGCAATAAAAATGAGAGGATTTGAGAATCAATAAAAACGAAAAAAATATCCTTTAAATTATGAAGATATTATTTTATTTTAATTGTTTTTTTCATAAAACCCTTTTTTTTTAGCTTACTTAATTTTATTGAGCTTTTATTTCTAGTTTATATATGAAAGCTTAGACAAAATACGGCACTCACGTTAAACAATAACATGTTCTTCCATGTTTTGGCAAAATAAACTACATTATACTATAAAATATTACATCTCTTGACAACTTTTACATGTCTGGTTTAATACTTCAACATAACATTTACAATTCACACCAATTTCTTATATATACACTAGCATTTGACAATGGATTGCAAGTATTCCAATCCAAGTTCTGCAAACCTAGCTTCATCGCGAATGATCAATTAATATGCACCAAGCAGATTTGAAGAAATGCCAAAATTGCCAGCTAAGCTCTAGACCGGAGTCATGATCAATTAATATGCATCAAGCATACTAATTGCAGTTAATACAGTGGAGTAATAAAACTAAGCCCCATCAGATTCAGACTCACAACCAGGAGTTCCTTTTTCAATAATTGGCTTCTCTAGCAGTCCTCCTTTGCCTGGTCCTGTTGCTAATACAGCCATGGAAATGCAAAGATTGGGGCATGGTTCTTTGCAAAAAGAATATTTGTCCCCTGTATTGTAAATTTTTCTTAAGCACTTCTTGAAGCACTCGATCCAACGAAAAAGAGTTCAAGGTTTTATGTTCAACGAAAAAGGTAAGGGTCAACACATTACACAAATACAAGCAATTAAGCATGACTTTTAATTCATGTCCTTTGTGACAAAATGAGATTTTTGTTGATTATCTGCTGCTTTTATCCAATTGTTGTTAGTCAATTGCCGCCAGAATCATGCTTCACTTTTCCAACCACTAATTCTCCTACTGATTCTTTTAGTAGAAGAATTTGTAGGCAGAAAGAGAAATCTCCACAAAGAAAATCTGCGTCTGCCCGAGTCCTAAAGCTGAAGTGGTTTCTTAGCATTCATTTCTAGATAAGTAATTCATTGATTTGACATCAGCTTGAAATGCCCAGATACACTATCTCATAGAGAAACCACATTATCATCACAAGCAGGAGTCTCAAAATTAAACACAAACACTTGAAATTATCCTATATCGTGCACAAGTGCACAACAAGAACAAAACAAAATGTTGCATACTGTGGGTATTTGTTCTCCTTAGATCTAGAACAACGAAATAGATTTCCACAAAAAACAGAAGGAATCAACAAATTTTAAAAGGGAGAAATGCGAAGAGAGGTTACATTTCCCAAGGAGTGATTGAAGTGCACCCTTTATGGTTTTCTTGTCGCCTCTGCAACAAAGAATGAAGAAAAAAATTGGAGCAAATAAAAGATGAAGGGCACAAAGAATAACCAGCTGATCGCAAATATGAAGAAGCAAACAAGCGGCAGCGGATAGATCTAAGATGAGAAAGGAAGAATCAGAGAACGATGTGACCTCAAGACTTAATAATCACGATGAACCTTCTTTATTCTGTCTTCCACCGTCTTCAAAACCAAAACCTCACCTTACTCTCCTTTGCTGCTATTGCCGTTGAAATCGAGACTCATTGATGGAATCGCGGACCTACAGCTGAACAATGGAGAGAGGAGTAGAAGAGGCGTGGGGGAGGGAGAGGATTTGATTAAAGACATTTAACTCTTTTGCTCATTTAACATCGCAGGATCCAATTCCTTTCTCAAATTGCAAGTCCTTCTAAGCAATTTTTCCTTTTAACATACAACGGTCACATAAACTCATTTTTAATGTCATAATGCCACGTCATCATCCTGAGAAATTAGACTATTAACTATATAGAAACGTATTAAAATATTCAAACTACAGAAACCTCCCCACGAATTAATATAGACTACAAACAACTTGTTTGGATTGACATTATAATTGATTTTAAGGGTCCAAATAATCCATTTTTGAAAAAAGAAAAATGATAATAAAATCCTTTTGAAATGTATAAATAACAATTTGATCCTTCAAAATGCCATAATTCTCCTAAAGTTTCTAAGATTTTTTTATCATTAATGAATTTATATAAATTATTAAATTACCTTTGTTAAAAATAAATGATTCACAACTTTTCTTCTTATATTCACAACAATATAACAGCAAATAAAGAATTTAACATGCGAAGCTGTGATTTGTTATTGCATTGTTGTAAATTTAAGAATAAAAATTGTAAATATAGACTACAAAAAACTTGTTTGGATTGACATTATAATTGATTTTAGGGTGCAAATAATCAATTTTTGAAAAAAAATGATGATAAAATCCCTCTAAATTATATAAATAATAATTTGATCCTTTGAAATACCATAATTTTCTTAAAATTTTTAAAGGCTTTTGTGTCATTAATAAATTTATATAAACTATCAAATTATCCTTATTTAAAATAAATGATTCGCAACTTTCTTTTTAATATTCACAATAATGCAACAACAAATAAAAAATTTAACATGTGAAGTTGTAATTTTTTATTGTATTATTGTGAATTTAAAAAAAAGTTGTAAATATAACAAAAAGATTTGTAAATAATTTATTTTTAATAAGAATAATTTAATAATTTATAAAAATTTATTAATGATAAAAAAATTTTTAAAAACTTCAAAAAAATTATAATATTTTGAAAGATTAAATTGTCATTTATATATTTTAAAAAAATTTTATTATAATTTTTCTTTTAAAAAAATTACCCAAACAACAAAAAAAATTAATAATTGATCATTAAATCATAATCACATTTTGAAATAAGCTTTTTGAGAAGTTGTTCGTAAATTCAATTTTACTGTTAAATAATATATTTGTTTTTAAATAAAATTTAACAAACTAATATTAAATAAACTACAATTTTATTAATAATTTAATTTTTAAAAATAATATTTTTTAATAATTTATACAGCCAAAATTAATTTCTAACATTCAAATAAATTATATTATAACATAATTAATTATAATTAAACTCAATCATATTAATTAATTTTTTTTATAATTAATTATATTACTTTAATAATCAATTATATTCAAATCCAAACAGACCCAAAAACTAATAAAATTACTTTTTCAATCATTCCAACAATTCTTGAATTCTAGTCTCAATAGCTTCGCGGGCCTGTGGCCTGTGTAGGTTCATAATATATCGTCATGCTGGAACTATTAATGTTTATTTTTTAGCAAATATATCAAGCATTTTTCTCCCTTTCCATAAAAAACCGTTTGCCAGGACCCCGCTTTTAGTGACCAATTGCCAACATTCCCATTCCATAGAGCAGGGAGAGTAGAATCTTGAAATTCCACTTCCACATGATTAAACTAAACTGCGCGATGTTCACAAGAAAATAGATTAAAAACAAGTAAACAATGGAAGGACAAACTAAAAGGGGCCCAGAACATCCATAATTCATCACAAAGACATGAGTGCCTAAAATATATCTGTAGCGTCGAACTTAACGACAGACAACTCCCTTCAAAAACATGTAGAGGTGAAGTGAATAGTTTAAATAACTGTTTACTGCTTTTCCTCGTCAGGTTTAGGAGCAGCTGCTGCTTCTTTAATTTCGTCCGCTCCCTCATCCTGAAATCCAACCACAACATGAAACCAAATAAATAAATAGTAGATTAAGTAAACTTCAATTATGTAATAAAGTGATGAGAAACAAGAGTTTGATAAAATTCAAAATAACATTACCTGCATGTCAGAGGTCCATAGGGTAAGGTTATCACGAAGAAGTTGCATGATCAACGTGCTATCCTTGTATGATTCCTCTCCCAACGTATCCAATTCAGCGATTGCTTCATCAAAGGCCTAGCGAATATCGAAAATATAAACATTCCTTATAATTCAATAAATATACTATAAGCACGACCACTAATAGCCACATATGAGTGGTGCTCTTGCTGCTTCATAGCAAAACTTTCGCTATTCAAGAAAGAGATAGATAATAAGTAAAAGGAATATATTCAGCATTTAGTAGCCACAACCCAGCAGCAAGGTTTTTAAACAATAAGGAAAAGCAAAGATGAAGTTGCCACGGAAGTGGTTCAATTTTATGGCCATCAAATAAAAGCAATTTTTGCGGCATGCGCTTCGTTTTCTTACATCCCAAATAGAATAACAAATAAATTGATCAAATGACAAAAAAAATGAAGCAGCATAGAGATGATAAGCAGATCCTCCAGCCCTAACCTGCTTTGCAAGGTTGCAAGCACGGTCCGGAGAGTTGAGAATCTCATAGTAGAACACAGAAAAGTTCAAAGCAAGACCAAGTCTGATTGGATGAGTCGGAGGCAGTTCGGCATTTGCAATGTCCTGCAGGGAAAGATTGGCATAAAGATTTTCGAAGTGCATAATTTCAAAAGTAAGATCAAGAGGAATGTGAGAAAAATATCAGACTCAGAATCTTTCAATTCTTAAAATGGCCAGAACAATGAAAGAGCGTCAGGATCAAGCAATTCCGACGTTTAGTATAAACCGGGAAACACTGAAAGGAAAGAATAAACACACAGCAACAAAATCGAATTGCTTTAATTGTTTCGAGGAAAGCTCAAAAATAAAAAACAATGCATCATGAACTACGGCAGTCTTGTTTGTATTTTTTTTTTCCTTTGGTTGTTTTTTTGGGTTGGGGGGCGGTGGGAGCTAAACTAACCGTATGTATGATAAATGCAATTCAATGAGATGCATAATAATAAAGAGACAAGGATAATCCGGTGAAAATCTGCATCACAAAATCAGAGAACTGACAGAATAGCCAGAACAGACAGGACAAATTCAGCCACCGGAAGTACCCAAGAAATACGCCCAAAAACTCACCCAAGAAGAGAGAGAGAGAGAGAGAGAATACCTGAGCAGATTTGTAAGCAGTAAGAGTGCTCTCGGCAGCCTCCTTACGCTCGTTTCCGGTCTTGAACTCGGCAAGGTACCTATGGTAATCGCCCTTCATCTTGAGATAAAAGACCCTGGAATCGCCGGCAGAAGCAGAAGGGATAAGGCGGGTATCGAGGAGCTTCAGGATCCCATCGCAGATGTTGGAGAGCTCACTCTCGATCTTGGATCGGTAGTCGCGGATCATGGAGACATGATCCTCGTTTCCTCGGCTCTCCTCCTTCTGCTCGATGGAGGAAATGATACGCCAGGAGGCACGGCGGGCACCGATGACGTTCTTGTAGGCGACGGAGAGGAGATTCCTCTCTTCGACGGTGAGCTCGTCTTTGTCGACGGCGGCGGAGACCTTCTCCATGAACTCGACCATCTCTTCGTAGCGTTCGGCCTGTTCGGCAAGCTTCGCCATGTAGACGAACTCTTCGCGAGGCGAAAGAGCGACAGCGGCCAACATTGTGGGAATCAAAGAGAGGGAGAAAGGGGTGAGATTTGATTTGGCTAGGGATTGTGAGAGAGAGAGAGAGTAAAAAGGAGGAGACCGTGGATTTTGAGGGGGCAATTGGGGGTGGCGAATATTTTGTGGACGGTAGTGGCAGCGATAATTGCGTTCAGGGGACGGTCTCCGTTTCCAACACTCAATATGGGCCGTCGGATCCCACCCCACTATACCAAATAAACTGATACCTCCTTTTCTTTTTCTATTTGAATGAGAACAAATAAAATGAAAAAGAACCGGAGAAGAGACAGCTGTTCACCACGGGGTTTGATTTTGTGTGGCGGAAAGTTTGAATCCCTCCCAGTTATTAATTATTAATTAAATTAAATTAAACTTAAACTTAAACGTCCTGTTTTTCGACCAAGAAAATATGTCATTTCAAAAATTTGTGGCGTCTCACGAAGGAAACCGTACAGAGTCGAGATGGCTTTATTCTGTATTCCCAGTTCTCTCACCACAAAATACCACATGGGCCTCGTTTTACTTTACCCCCCTTTGTGGGCTGTTGGAGAAAGACCTAACCGAACAATTTGAAATTAACTAGTTAAGAAACAATCCGAATTTCTCTTTGATTTAATTTCTTTGTTCTACGCTGAGAGACTGCCCAGCTGATAATATATTGATTCGTCTATAAGAATCTTTTTTGTACATCTGATGAACATGGATTTATTTCAATTACATGTATAGTTGATGGAGAAGGGGTGTTGAATGCATGATGAGAGAGCCATCGCTCATACAAGCAAGCCAGGACAACGTCTTGAAATATAAACCTTGGGTGAAATTACGAAGCATACCAATGGCGGAAAGGAGTACTTCACGGCTGGGCTGTAAACAAATGGAGTTAAATTATAGATTGATCACAATGCAAGATTCCAATTAATGAAATTATCGGCATAGCACACTGAATGGTTGAACAGAGGAAGTGCCAGTGTCTTAGAAAATGTGAAATCGATAGCTGTTATGGAATTAAAATTCCTCGAGGATGACAATTGCAGACTAAATGTCTAAGCATTTGACAAAGACAACTGACAGGTAGGAGCCAAATAACATGATAAAAATAACTCTGTTCACATCCCCACTCAGAAGTCATATCTGTTTTTCTAGCCAGCTCTCCTTGGCAAAGTAGAGTAAAATAGTAGAACCATGTCTGCCCACAACTTAACTATCCAAACTCCCATGCCCGCACCAACCTTGACGCAGGAAAACAGCGCTACTGCTCTAAGTCATGTTTTGCTTGACCGAAAGGTATCTATGGATGGAACTATCGAGTTCTTCAATCAAAATAACTATTGATGGAATAAGAACAGTTCCCCGTGAACTGAAGTCATCTTCTTTACGCAGTGGCGGTCCATATATTTCGAACCAGAGGTCATCTTTTTGCAATATTAATCTTATTTTCAATTATCTCAACATGTTTGCTTGTTCAACAATGAATATCAAGAGTCTTGGTCAATATGGCGCACTTAGTCCATCGTAATAATGATGTGACGTAAGACCGGGCACTTTTGGTTTCTTGGAATCTGAGTTGCGTCTTTCGAAGAAGCTCCTAAGTTCAGTTCAATTAGGCAGCATCACCTTTCATATTTGGTGAATTATAGAACCGATTGCTTATTCATCCCTATAACACTGCGGAAATAACTTGCAACGTGAAAATGATATTGGTAGCTGTTGCCAGCATCGTTTGCTTTAAGTCACTTTCAACCTCTTGCGTCTATTTTCAAGTAAACTAGTTCAAATACTGAAATAGAAGCCCACTGTAATATACTATTCAGATAAGCCACGGTTTTGTCCGGTTTTTTTGCTCACAATTTCCTTCCTTCGTTTAATTTGTTTCCTTTGTACTCCAATGCAGCTATTTAAAGTCATCAGTCATTGCTAGGATGCTTTGAAATTTCAAGCACTAGCTAGGCCTTGCACAAGAATTAAAGCTACACACAAACGATGGAGAAAAGCAAAATACAAGCGGCTTATGAATATTGCCATGCTATATTTTCTCAGCAGGGGCTTCCAACTTTTCAACGAATCCAGCATCTGAAAAATATACTTGGTGGGTTGTTATCTTCGATTATTAAATGCTCCCCCCCCCCTTTTCCCTTTTTGGGCCTTGTAAAGTTCTGCAGATAAGAATCGAAGCAGTGTAGAGTCACAATTCCCGTACATGCATGAATTTGTAGACAGTATGGAAGCTAAAGATGTTGGGATAGACGAGTTTGGGTCGTGTGATTCTGCCATCTCACTCCAGGAGGCTGGTGGCAGCAGGGGATTGCTCTGTGGACGAGGCTTCTCGGAGATTACATACATTCATATTCATGAATGCGATAGTTTCTCAGTGAGTACACAAACCCCAAGCATATCAGTTGATTGCTATGGTATTCGAATAAATAATAATGAGAAGATTGATGATGAGATGGATGCAGATAGGGGTGTTTTGTTTGCCAGCAGGAAAAACTTTCCCACTTCACGATCACCCGGGAATGATAGTTCTAAGCAAACTCCTTTATGGCTCTGTTTATGTGAAAGCTTACGACTGGATCAAAGTGGATAACAGAGCCAGCCAAAGACGTAAGTGTAATTACTACTCTCTGCATTCAGCCCAAATCAAACAAGCGCTTAGAATTGTTGTCGATGCAGCAGTAGGGTTAGCAGGCAGGGTGGTAGATGGAATAATGAAAGCACCACAGGAGACGTCCATATTATTTCCAACAAGAGGAGGCAACATACATGGTTTCACCGCTTTGACGCCATGTGCAATACTGGACGTGCTCTCTCCGCAGTACTCTGAAGAATTGGGAAGGCCTTCCACATACTTCTCTGACTCCCCTTTTCCTTCCCCTTCTTCTGGTAATTCACTCTTCTGATTCTTCCAGTCTATTCCTGTCCATTGATCCAAATACGACCCGTGTGTGCAGATTATGCCCTGCTTGAGGCCATACTTCTGCCTGCAGATCTAGTTGTGAGAGCAGCGCCATATCTTGGACCTCCGGTTTCACCTCAATACTGCTCTTATCAGTAAACAGATTTACAACTTACCTGCGGCTGTGGCTATATTTAATCAATTAATTAATCAATGCACGTGCTCTCCCATCCCATGGTTGGTTAGACTTTTCAATGAAGTTGATTTGAAGGCAGGCTTTAGTATTTTGTCTGCAAATTGTACGCCACTTGTATATATGTACACAGGTGTACATGTGTTTCTGACTTCAAGCTCTCCTCAAAGTTTATTGGCATCTTAGAGGTTCTATTAATGTGGTTCAGCATCAAGGTCTGTTCTTCGTTGTCTTTTTCAGCTCTGTTTTGGACCTTAATTTTATTCTTGCTCACGGCGTGTGACTTCAAGGTTTTACACTGTGAGTCTTTAGATGGGATCAGTCTTTCTCTTTCTCTTTAAAAGTCTTTTCCTTGTTTTAATGGCACAGAAACCGAATGAAAAGAGAAAACTCTGAATTTTATTTCTAGTCTGCCTCTCTTACAACAAAGTGAGTCCTATTTATAGTGTTAGGACTCTGAACGAAAACAGGTAATCAGCTAACGTTACAAATGTAAATGCTAAACGTTTTATTGGCTTAATGAAGGGTAACGGAACACGTTTGGCTTCAATTCTGTAACTCTCGTGTATTAGTTCTGTTGTCCGTTTCAGTCCGTTTCATCCTTCCCGGGTTCAGCAGAACTCGCCCTCGAGTCAAATTCGGCATTATCGTCAATGTAAGGGAATAGATCAGCAACATTAAAGGTGGCAGATACACCATAAGAACCAGGTAATTCCACTTTGTAAGCGTTGTTGTTGATCCTTTGCACTATCTTGAACGGACCATCAGCTCTTGGGGACAACTTGGCGTTTGGTTGTTTAGGAAATCGTTCCTTTCGTAGATGTATCCAAACCAAGTCTCCTACCTTAAAAGTCTGCTGTCTTCGATGTTTGTCATGTTGAGCCTTGTATCTCAAATTCTGCTTTTGGATTCGCTCGCGAACTTGCTCATGTAACTTCTTAATTTCCTTAGCCCTTTGGTTAGCATCAGAGCTATATTGCTGCTTATCAAGTGAAAGGGTCAAGTCTAGTGGACTAAGGGGACGAGTGCCATAAACAACTTCAAACGGACACTTCCCAGTTGCTTGGTTGACAGAGTTATTATAAGCAAACTCAACTTGAGCAAGAATAAGATCCCACTGCTTCAAATTCTTCCCTATGAAACTGCGAAGAAGATTACTAAGAATCCTATTTATAGCTTCAGTTTGACCGTCTGTCTGGGGGTGACTAGCGCTGCTAAACTGGAGCTTAGTTCCCATCTTCTTCCATAACGTCCGCCAAAAGTGGCTAAGAAACTTCACATCACGGTCAGAAGTGATAGTTCTAGGAATGCCATGAAGACGCACAATCTCCTTAAAATACAAGTCGGCTACTTGAACAGCATCGTTGGTCTTCTGGCATGGGATGAAATGGGCCATTTTTGAGAAGCGATCCACAACTACCATGACAGAATCTTTTTGCCTCTGAGTCCGTGGTAAACCCAGAACAAAATCCATAGTTATATCTTCCCAAGGTGCTTTTGAAATTGGCAGAGGCATGTATAGTCCAGTATTCTGACCCTTGGATTTAGCCAAGTGATAAATTCTGCATCTCTGTATATACCTGTTGACATCCCGTTCAAGTCGAGGCCAGTAAAAGTTCTCCTTCACTAGGTTAATTGTCTTATCTCATCCAAAATGTCCAGCTAATCCACCATCATGTGCTTCCCAAATTATGGCTTCTCTCAAGGAACCCTGTGGAATACAGAGGGTTTTACCTCGAAATAAAAACCCGTCGTGTCTGTAGAACTGGTGGAAAGGCTGATTTATAGTTGCTTCCCACACTCCTCGAAAATCAGGATCATCTTGATATAACTCTTTAACAAGGTCAAATCCAACAACCTTGGTTTGTAGTGTTGTAAGTAGTACATGGCGACGACTAAGGGCATCAGCTACGGAGTTCAGAGTTCCAGCCTTATGTTTGATAAGGAATGGATAAGACTGTAAGAGTTTACTCCAACGAGCATGTCTACGGCTGATCTTCTACTGGGAATTCAAATACTTGAGAGCCTCATGGTCCGAAAAAAGTATGAACTCTTTATTTAGGAGATAATGACTCCAATATTGAAGAGCTCGGACAATGGCATAGAATTCCTTATCATAGGTAGAATATTTGAGCTTGGCATCATTGAGCTTCTCACTAAAAAAGGCAATGGGATGGCCCTCCTGGCTTAAGACAGCACCAATGCCAGTGTTAGAAGCATCACAGCTAACTTCAAATACTTGATCAAAATTAGGAAGAGCTAGGACTGGAGCTTTGGTCAACTTCTTCTTAAGCTCCTCAAAGCTTTTCTGAGCTTGCTCTTTCCACTGAAACTTCTCTCCTTTGGTGCAGTCTGTAAGTGGTGCGGCAATTGAGCTAAAATTACGGATGAACCTCCTGTAGAAAGAAGCTAATCCGTGGAAGCTTCGAACCTCCTGGATGGATTTTGGAATTGGCCAGCTGTCAATGGCTGCAACTTTGCTTGGATCAACGCAAACACCTTCCGCGGTAATGATGTAACCCAAGAACACAACTTCGTTGGTGAGGAAGGCGCACTTCTTGAGATTTGCATAAAGCTTCTGCTCACGCAAGGCTTGCAAAACTTGCCGCAAGTGATCTAAATGCTCCTCTTGATTCTTACTGTAAATAAGAATATCATCAAAGTACACAACAACAAATTTACCAATGAAGGGTCTCAATACCTGATTTATCAGGCGCATAAATGTGCTAGGAGCATTTGTTAACCCAAAAGGCATCACATTCCACTCATATAAGCCATCTCTGGTCTTGAAATCAGTCTTCCACTCATCTCCTGGTCGAATTCTGATTTGATGGTACCCACTACGAAGATCAATTTTGGAGAAAGTAGTGGCACCATGCAATTGGTCCAGCATATCATCAAGCCGAGGTATCGAAAACCGATACTTAATAGTGATCTTGTTGACGGCTCGGCAGTCAATGCACATTCTCCAACTCCCATCCTTCTTAGGTACTAGAAGAACAGGTACAGCACAAGGGCTGATACTTTCTCGAACTAACCCTTTCTTTAACAACTCTTCAACTTGTCGTTGGACTTCGGCATGTTCCTGGGGACTCATCCTATAAGCAGGCTTATTAGGAATGACTGCTCCTGGAACGAAGTCAATGGCATGCTGTATGTCTCGCATTGGAGGCAACCCTGGTGGTATCTCATCGGATATTACATCTGAAAATTCTGACAATAACGGAATGACTCCAGGTGGATTGACCGTCTCATCGTTCACCTCAAGCACCAGAATAATACTCATCATTTGGGCTTCGGATTTTGACACCTTGAATTCCTCCTTAGTCAACAAAGACACTAACGGCTTAGAAACACTAGATTCCCTTAAAGATTGGCTAATCTCATTGGGTGGTAGAGGCGCTAGTGTAAACTTGACACCATCTTTCGTAAAAGAATAAGTGTTCGCTCGCCCGTTATGCATAGCATGTCGGTCATATTGCCGTAGCCTCCCCAAGAGAAGGTGGCATGCATCCATGGGAACAACATCATATAAAACTTCATCACAATATCGATTCCCAATAGAAAAGGTCACAAGGCATTGTTTAGAAACTTTTACCTCATTCCCTTTATTGAGCCAGTGAAGCTTGTAAGGTTGTGGACGATCTTGTATTGGCAACTTCAATTTCTCCACCATGTAGTTAGATACTACATTTTCACAGCTTTCACTGTCAATGATGACATTACAAACTTTTCCTTGGGCCGTGCAACGAGTGTGAAAAATGTTGCGTCGTAACCAAGGTTGTTCTTTGACTACTATTGTATGCAGACTTCGTCTAAGCACCAATGCTTCTCCTTGATCAGCAGGTGTGACCTCCTCGTCATATACGGGATCAGTGCCGTAGAACTCATCGTCCTCCTCACCTTCTTCAAGTGTTTCATACCTTGATCCTTCTCGAATGGTGACAACCCTTCGTGTAAGACAGTCCGCAGCAATATGGCCAAATCCTTGGCATTTAAAGCATTTGATTGCTTTGGAACCAGATTCCTTGGCAGCATTGGATGGTGGTTTGCGCATAGCAGTAGGTTGTGGCTTGCTTGAGGAGTTAGTCTGCTGAAATTCTTCTTTACGGCCTTCTAGATAACTCCTAGAGGATGAAGGTTGGAAAGCGGATCTCTTGGGCATCTGCTTCTCAACACACACGGCCAGACGGATGACATCATCCAAGGTCCAATATTGTTGAAGCTGGACTGGACGACTGATATCTGTGTTTAAGCCTGTAAGGTACCGGGCTATTGTTTGCTCCTCCTTCTCCTGAATATCACACTTCATCATGAGTTGTTCAAACTCTCTAGTATATTCTTCTACAGATAAAGATCTCTGTCGAAGATTTTGCAACTGGATAAAATTATCCTGGTGGTAATAATCTGGTAAAAATTTCCTGGTGAGCTGGCGTTTCATTTTCTCCCAGGTTTCAATCTTGCGCTTTCCCTCACGTTCTAGCTTCCATCTGAGGTTTTTCCACCAAATAGAAGCATGTTTCTTGAGTTTGAGGGCGACAATTTTGACTTTCTGCACATCTGGAATCTCCTTGTATTCAAATACTCGTTCAACAGTTTGTAGCCAATCTACAAACTCATCTGGCTGGAGCCTTCCCTCGAATTCAGGAACGTCAACCTTGATGTCATTAGGGCGGAATTGTTGTTGTCGTGGGCGGCGGCGGTTTTCTGTAGATGACGAACTACTGCTTCCCGAATCTCTCTCTAAGTTTTCTCTGTTGTTGTTTAACAGAGTTTGCTGCAATTCCACAGTGGCTTCCAATTCTCGTATCCTACGTCTCAACTCTTCCATCTCAACCTCGTGCACATGTCTACGTCTTGGAGGCTTTTTGAATAAGTGTCAAGGCTAGGGATAAAGATTGGGGTGCGATTGGAAACGTTGAAGGATATAGAGGTAAAGTGAATTTTTTTTTTCAAAAGGCTAGGGGCAAAATGGGGATTTTGGACTATCTAGGGGGTAAAATAGCGATTCTAGAAGAATGATGGGTCAAATTGAAATTTATGAAAAATATAGGGGTTAAACTGGAATTCAGGTAAAATCAAGGGGCAAAAGTGTAATTTTAGGAAAGTTTAGCGGTTAAAATGGAATTTCTAAAAAATTTGGGGGATAATATGAAATTTCATAAAAAATAGGGGTAAATTTACAATTACTGAAAGATTTGGGTCGAAAATGTAATTTCTGAAAAGTTGGCTGACTGGGCGCAGTGACGTGGCGACTGTGACACATGGGATAAAACTATTGGTCTGACCTGTCGTTGATCGGTCAGAACAATGACGTGGCAGCTGACATCAGCGTCTTCAACCTTCGGATAGCGCGTGACGGCGCGTGGACCGGCGGCGAGGCGCGTGGTATTCCGACGGTGGCGCGTGGCAGCGCGTGCGACTGTTTCCGGTGACGAGGAACCTCTTGTTCCATGTTTTCGGACCTCCTGAGCACGATGGTGATGTTAGTTTTCTGAGAAAATGCCTGGTTTGTAAAATGCGAAGACGTCAGGGACTCCTCCTCTGAATCTCTCTTCTTTCCGGCGTACTTTCTCAACTGTAACTCACTCTCTCGTTCTCTGGACCAGCTCTGATACCAAAATGGCATAGAAACTGAATGAAAAGAGAAAACTCTGAATTTTATTTCTAGTCTGCCTCTCTTACAACAAAGTGAGTCTTATTTATAGTGTTAGGACTCTGAACGAAAACAGGTAATCAGCTAACGTTACACATGTAAATGCTAAACGTTTTATTGGCTTAATGAAGGGTAACGGAACACGTTTGGCTTCAATTCTGTAACTCTCGTGTATTAGTTCTATTGTCCGTTTCAGTCCGTTTCATTTAATGTTTGGTGTAGAGTTTATGGTGTCCCTTTGGCTCATTACCCTGAATCCATCGCTAATTTTTTTGGTAATAAGCTGGGTCCCTTCCTGTCAATTGATGTGTCTTGTGTTTCTCGTAATGTCGGTCTGACGGTTTTCCTTTTTTTATTTCTGTTTCCTGTCTTTCGCTGTTCATCATAATTTGATCGTATTTTCTCATTGTAGTGAACCTATTCCTGTTTCTTTTTTCTTCGCAAATGTTGGTCGTGAGTGCGCTATGTGTTTGCATGTCGGTCATACGCCTTCCCTTTGTCTAAAGTCGGTTTCTTTGGATTCGGGTCATTTGTGTGATGATCTTCGGGTCTCTTTTTCGGGCTTCTCCAAGTCGGTTGCCATATTTTTGTTTGGGCCTCGTTATGTTTTTAATAGGACACATGGCATTTGTAACTAGTCTAGGCCCACTTCATTTGATATTCCTTCACAAGCTTCGATGACCAAGCCTCCTTCTACTGAAGATGTACCCTGTGTTGGGTTGCTTGGAGCTGCTTTGCTGTTCTACCACGGTTAAAAGAAAACGGGAAGCTTTTGCCGAAGATCTCACTGCTGCTCATATGACGGTTCAGCCTCTTAAGCAACTTAAGACATTTCATCAATTCAGCCTGCAGTTAAACTGCTTTGATTATGCTGTTGCTGTCACCAATTCAAGTCTAGTGTATTATTGTTTGTTCGTTACTCTTGTGCTGAGGTATCAGATCCTACTCAAGCATCAGTTCATTTATCTAGCTGGCTTTCGAGCGTCTTGTTTTTCAGATGTTTTTTCAATCAAGAAGTTCTTCCACAGCCCTCGTAAAAAGCGACATCGACATACTGACCCATAAAGACGATGAGGTCCTTCCTAACACATCTGATAGGGGTCAGAATCTGGGTTTCGTGAGCTTTGTAGCCGAAAATGTTAGATTTGTACATCTCAATTTATATGAATAAGTAAAGTAATATATGCATACCTGAAGAATTCATGAGTACTTAAAAAAGCTCGATTACCTCGAGTGTAGATAGACACACAACCCACTGGTTCCCAGAATCATTAAAGAGTGCAGAGATAATGGAGCAAAAAAAATGAATCATGTGTTTTGTGATTATCAACTGATCGACTTATAAGAATCAGATCGGTAACCACCTTATTAAATAATTAAATAATTATATATTTTATTATCTCTGAATCAGTCAGTTAAGAGATAGGAAATAACTGACAGCTATTGGATTGTGGGTTAGGCCTTTGCCTATTGAGCTCACTTGTATGGTCCACCTATCACGGTCCACACAAAATCATAAAGACCAATCTGCTTAGGCTTATTAATTAATGTTAATCCGTATTCTAACAATCTCTCACTTGGATTGCATTAATTAAACAAATAATATAAACAAGTCACAAACAAAATTCAGAAAATAAAACTTCACAAAATTACTGGATTCTATGAAAAAATAAGTGATATAATGTCTCATAATCTAAATAAAATATGAAATTTTATTTCAAAAACGCAGTTCAGTAAGACAACAACATAAATCACTAATTCCTATGGGGAAACAAGTGACATGCATAGTGTACCACAACAAAATCATTGAATCTTATGGGGATACAAATGATATAGACTCATCTAACTAAACTGAATATAACTCACAGAAGAAAATAAAGTTTAAAGAGAAATTACAACACAAAAGGTTCTTAAACTCCCACCAAACTAGAGCATCAAAGGAATTTATAATACCCATACAAGTTACATGATTTTGAAAAACTTCTATAGGTAAGCCCTTGGTCAGCAAATCTGCAAGCATCTGTGTGCCAGGAATGTATACCACACGGGTTTAAGACTTAGTAATTTTCTCTTTTACAAACATAAGTTTGATATTAAAATGCTTTGTACGACTGGAATTTCTGTGATTATTAGCTTAGTATACTACAGATTTATTATCACAATAAATAGTTAGAGAACATGATGTTGACTCAAACAGGCGCATGACAGATATCAACTTCCTCAACTATATAGCATGACATGTAGTCTCAAAACAAGCAATATACTCAGCTTCTATAGATGATACTACTATAAGTGTCTGTTTCATACTTTTTCAAGAAACGGCTTCTCCCGACAACATGAAAATATAACCGATCATGGACTTACGATCATTCAAACACGAGGCAAAATCTGAATCTAAAAAGGCAACAATTTCAAGATCTTCTGATCCCTTAAAATCATAATCAGAATACCCAATAACCTCAAAAAAATTTGACCTTTTGTAAGTTAACATATAATTCTTCATATCTTAAAGATATCTCATAACTTTCTTAGCAGCTTTCCAATGATCCGGACTTGGTTCATTTAAGTATCGACCCAACACTCCAATGGCAAAGGATATATCTAGTCAAGTACACACTTGAACATACATAAGGTTGCCGATAGCGGAAGCGTATGGTATCTTTTTCATTTCAGTCCTCTTCTTATCATCCTTGGCACACTGTAACTCTGGTAATAGCTCACCTTTTTGTACAGGAGCAGGTGAGGGAGAACATAAATCCATTTTGAATTTTTTAAATACCCGCTCAATATAAGTGGTATGTGATAAATCAAGAATACCACGAAATTTATCACGATAAATCTATATCCCAAGAATGAAGGAGGCCTCACCCATATCCTTCATGTCAAAATGGCAAGATAATAGGTGTTTTATCTCATTAAAAAAATTCATTAAATTGTTGGCTAACAAGACATCATCAACACAGAGATGATAAGGTCCTTCCTAACACATTTGATAGGGGTCCGAATCTGGGTTTCGTGAGATTTGTAGCCGAAAAAGCTTGCTTGGCAGTACCATGACACACTTGATCTCAGAGGATTGTGAAATGGGTATGGTCACAACCCTCTTTTTTAGTTCAGGCCACTCTGACATTGTGTTTTCTCTGTTTCTTGGGTTTAGGTTGTTTTATAATGGCTTCTGGAGTTCATTCTCTGTGATTTCTTTCCGGTTGGAATTGACGATCCCTTTGGGATATCAAAAGTCCGTTGCTATTAGTAGGCTTTTTAGCCATTGTGAGAACTTTTCGTTCTCTTCTTTGTACCTTGATGGTATCCTTTACTCTGGAGATGGCTCTTTTTATCTTCACATGCACTCGTTGCATATGATGTTCATTGATCTCCTTCATTCTAGCGGCTACGGATTCCTGCCTGGGAGTGACTTCTTCGTGGATGTGTTATCTATGTGTGGCCTTTTTCCTTTTCAACGTTTTTTGGTGTTAGTTTCTCTCAGGCTCCTTCGTGTTTTAAATGGGCCTTATGTTTGTATGGACTAACCTTTCATGGTTTAATAAATTGTCCTTTCCTCAAAAAAAAAAAAATCTAAAGAAGTTCCTTATGGTGTATGATTTGGCAGACTAGTCTAAGTTATCAATTAGGGCAGAAGCTGATAAGGTTAGTGAGCGAGTGGCATCCGCCGACGTTGTTAAACATGAAAAATGGCAATTCACGCAAGGAAATGATAAATAATGAGCCATGTAAAATTAACTGAAATACCCAAATGAAAAAGAGAACCAAAAAGACAATTATTCACAAATAATGACTATACAAAATATATTGTTATTAAAATGAAAACATAATTTGTTTTTTTAATAAAATTTATTATTGATCCTTGTTTGTGAATAATTTTCTTTTCAGGTCTTTATATATTATTCTCCCAGTGGACAATAACTGAGAGCATGGAAATTAAAACGTGCGTACTATGACTGGAATGGTAATGAAAAAACTAGCCATAGATCAACATATCAGAACTAATAAAGCAGCATAAAATCTCAAGGACATGGTTATTAAAAAGTAAAAGCACTTCTTCTATTCGTAACGACGACACTGCAATTCAAGTAAATAATTAACTTCTCAATAATGAATTTCCGGAGTACTTTCACCCGGTATTTCCAAAATAATAATAATAATAATAATAAAGCTGATGCAAATGTTGAAGATTTTCAAACATATGTTCATGACATGAAGTCAATATGATCCAGATTTCTTAATAATTTTTAATGATTTTATTATAATAAAAATAATTTTGTCATTGTCATTTTTTAAAAAAAAACTTAAATCTTAATTTTCAAATATATTTGTACACACGAGACATTTCAGTTGTCTAAACATGTCATTTAAAAAAAATAGAGAGTATATCGAATATCAAGATTAAGGTGTTGAGATACTTTGAGAAAGCGAAGTACTGCAATCGCTAATTAACTTGTTGGGTTGCTGTACTACTGGAATAGCTTCTAATATGGGTGTGCACGATCCTGATCATCCACCTGATAACTTCAGGAAGCTGTTATAGGATGATGCTCCAGGCATCGATCATATTCATTTTTGTAATAGTAGATTTTAGTTGGATCTTTTCCTTTTTGGAATGGAAAAATAATAATAATAATATTGCCTTCGTTCTTCAGAGTTAGCCGCAGTTTTTTCAAGCCATTCTCTCCACGCTTGAAGGAAGGAGGTGGCATTAGATGCAACATTTGCAAGGAGGTAATGACGTTTTCACCAAAATTAATTAGCATGTGTTTAATTTTTAATTTATCAAAAATTTATTTAGTAAAAGTTAATTATTATAACAAAATTTGTATTTAAATATATTTTTTTAAAAGTCAATTTGATATACTAAAAATTATTTAGATTATATATGATGGTAAAATATGCTTTTAAATATATAATTATCAAAAAATACATTAATTTATGCTAACTTTTCTAATATTTAATAAGAGAAAAGGATAAAGATGAATATAATAATTATTGAAATATCTATAAATAAAATTAAAATAAATATTTCCTATCTTATTAATAATATTAAAGCTCTATAAATAAGTTGAAAAGGATTTTTAAAAATTTTTTAAATTGCTCATTTTGAAATTCATTTTTAAGTCAGTTACCAAAGTCATATCAATTTGCATGTATTACAATCATCCGAACAACATCTTGACATTTGAAAAGTTAAAAAGGGTTTTTGAGAAGTGAGAAGTAAAAAAATCTAAACCCACCCTTGATGTCGGGAAAGGGGGCGATGATCCTCAACATACGCACGAGAATTTGAAGAAGAGAGTGGATTGAACAAAAATATAAAAGAAAATAAAAGAAGAGACGCGAGAACCTAGCGGACATAAATGAGTGAAAAATGACAGTTTACAATGGGGGAAGGGAAGGGATGCTGGGAGAGGATCGGAGGTGGTGGGCGATGATGAAGGCCAGCTCCAGAGACTGGGAAGCATTCAGGCGGGGGTCGCAGTGCGTGTGGTAACGCGAGCCCAAGTCTTCGAATGTCACCGTCCTCGACCCTCCCACGCACTCCGTCACGTTCTGTCCTGTCATCTCCAGATGCACCCCTCCTGCGTGGCTCCCTTCTTCCTCGTGCACCTCCAAGAACGCCGTTACCTCGTCCCTTATGGCGTCGAACGGCCGCGTCTTGAGCCCGCACGGAGCCTTCACCGTGTTCCCGTGCATGGGATCGCTTACCCACGTCACTATTTGCCCTGCCCTCCGCACCGCCCTGATCAGCTGCGGCAGTTTCACTCGTATCTTCTCCGCTCCCATCCTCGTTATCACCGTTATTCTTCCCACCTTGTTTTCCGGGTTCAATATCTCTATCAGCTTTACCAGCTCATACGGATCCATCTTATCGCTCACCTGCAATTGTTATCATCATATATACATCCCGATTCATGATCAGTTACCGTGTACTTGCATCATCCAAATCTCAATTAAATATTTAAAAACGAGACCTTAATGCCTAGAGGATTAGCGACCCCTCTTAAGAACTCGACGTGGGCGCCGTCTAGTTGCCTGGTGCGCTCACCCACCCAGAGCATGTGGGCAGAACAGTCGTAGTAGAGGCCGGAAGTTGAATCCAGCCTAGTGAGTGACTGTTCGTATGGCAGAAGCAGGCACTCGTGAGAAGTCCAGAACTCTGTGGTTTTCATCAGAGGATGGTCCACCGTGAAGCCGGCCGCCGCCATGAATCCGAGGGCCTCGTCCACTCTGTGTGCCAGCTCCCGGTACCTGCCATGCCACCACCTCTTTCAATAATTTTATTTATGCATGCACCTACATCCCATTTTTAACCACCAAGGTGCACATTGCGCAACTTTTTTACTGCCCCCAACCCCAACCATTTGTTGGAAACTTATAAATATGTACTGTGTACTGTGTTTGTCACCCATAAACCATCATGCTATTTTTTCTCCCCTAAATCTCGAGTCCCGCAGAATAACTTTAAATATAGAAATTTCATATTCAATTAATGCAAATTAGTAATTAATTATTCCTGCTTAATTATTAATTAGTCAACTCCACTAACAACTATCGTATCCATTGTTGATTGAAAACATTAATATAATAAATTGATAACTTTAGTAGAGAATATAAGATTTCAAAATAATTTTATATAAGATTTTTATATTTAGATTCTTCATAGTTTTTCTATAATCCTAGGTAAAAAAAACTCTAGCTCAATAATTAAAAAAAAAACTTTATGTAAAGTGTTTTTTTTTTTTTTACCAAAGTTTATGTAAAGTGTTGGAAACATAAATGTGCAGCGGTGACTTCACTCAAAATTAATTAGCCTCTCAGCATTTTCTACCCAATTCATTGAAGTTTTCTTTGGCGGCTAAAAGAAGGGCAGCACGGAGCATTTCCTGTAAAGTGTTGGTATGGTAACGCCCTAAGCCATGACGATTCCATATGGGCATTGAATCAGCACAGACCCCGGTGCAAGTATCGTTGCCTATAAAAAATTGCAAGGCATTGAATTTAAGAAAATGGAATCACCGACCTGTCCCCCTGCTCACTGTGCTCCGCAAAGTTCAGATTCCAGTGATTGATCCTCTGCATCGCTGCATACCCTCCCTTGGCAAAGGCTCTCAGAAGGTTCAGAGTAGCCGCGGATTGGCTATACGCTCTAATCATTCTCTGCGGATCTGGAGTCCTCGACTTCTCGTCAAACGCGTCTCCGTTCACGTTGCCTCCTCTGTAACCGGGCAGCTTCAATCCGTTCCTCTCCTCCAACGGCTCCGATCTAGGCTTCGCAAATTGACCCGCCATTCTTCCCACCTAATAACCCATACCACAACGTATCAGTATCATCGGGCATTCGTTTTTATATTCGCAGGCAAATATTGATTTTCTAAAAGACCTTAATAACGGGCATTTGTCCTCCGAGCATGAGAACGGCGCTCATCTGGAGAATAACCCTGAAGGTGTCACGTATGTTAACAGCATTGAACTCTTTGAAACTCTCGGCGCAGTCTCCTCCTTGGAGGAGGAATGCATTTCCCATAGCAGCCTGGCCCAGTCTTTCTTCCAAGCTTCTTGCCTCCCCAGCGAATACGATAGGAGGAAAGGCGTCCAGGGTCCTGAGCACCGATTCCAGTTCCTCTTGGTTGGGGTATTCCGGCAGCTGCAGGGCTTTTCTTGCTTTCCAGCTCTCAAGGCTCCATTTAACCTGATCCGTTCCGGTGGTGGCAGTTGACGTAGACGTCGTCGTGGCAGTGGCCAGGGGCTTCTTGGCAGGCTCGGCTCCGTGTACGGCTACAATGGAAGGAGTTGTGATCCATTTGGTGGGGAAGGAATATTGGCTGTGTTTTGAAGAAGAAACAAGAGTAAATGAAGTCGTGGGGATTAAGGATGTGTAAGTAGAGACAGCCATTATTGTTGCAGTTCTCAGATGGGAATAGATAATTGGATATCTCAGACAACTACGAAGATCTTATTTATGATCTATCAAGCACAATATCACGGAGGAAGCAGAGATCTGATAGATTCAGATTTGATGCCCAAAATGTGGCCACGGTTTTCAAAAGGAAGCGGCTCTGCTCTCTCTTGGGTTTTGTTGGTTGCCGAGCAAGGTTACTTCGGTCAATTGGACATCTTAAGGCTATTATTGGCACATTCATGTCCAAGCTGGGGAACAAGAAAAATTGCTCTAATTGTTTATATGCTTTATTATTTTACTTCAGTTTCCACCCAAATATTTTAGCAATTTAGTTCGAGACGGCTTGATATAATTAAGCCAATTACACGTGAAGCGCCGAAGAGGTGTATATATACGTGCATAGGTGTGTGAAAGAGATCAACGAACTTTTGTAATCGCGTTGGTTCAAGTCCTTGTTTTTTTCAAAAAACTAATAGGATGAAAGATTTACCTTCTCTTTCATCATTAAAATAGAGAACAGGCTGAAAAAGGAAAAGTAAGAGAGCATCATTGGCGTAGACTAGATAGCAAATACAAGAGAGTACACAAATACAATGACATATGGTTGTCAATTAGGATCCAACTTATCGAGTGGGTATTTTTAAGCCTAAAACTAATCAAAATGGGGCTGCTGCTGTGAGGTAAAAAATGGCAATTTAAGTTTTTAAAAAAATCCCTTTTAAGCCAAAAAAAATAAAAAGTTGGCCCTTTGGATTATTTTTATCATTTTTAATATAAAAAAATAAAAAATTAAGTATCTAACTAAAAAAAATAAAAACTATAAACCCATTCCTCCCTCCCTCATTCATGAAGATTTAACTAATAACATTAATAAAATTTAAATTTTATTTATGTTAATTTTAATATTATTATTTGATATTAGATTTGAAAGTTTAAATTTTACATATTTATTGTAAATTAATTTAAATTTATTTTTTTAAACTTAATCTTCCGTGTAATAATTATATTTAGAATTATATATATGTTTTTAAATAAAAAAATAAGGACGGCTCACATGGCCAGCTCTTTGGCTCTAGGCGCCAGGATCGGTTTTTACAAAATGAAATTCTGAAATATGGTTGAGCTTATCGAGATTCATTCATTTAGCACCAAACCCTTCAAAGATGTCCTAAGTCACAGCTCTTTCTGGCACTGTTGAAACACGCGTTTCAATTGTTGCTTTGTGGATTCCTCTGCTGGCTCTCCCATCACAATTTATTTTAATCCGAGACCGTCTTTGTCCCTAGCCTCCAAGAACTATCACTAGGATTTTATTTTATTTTATTTTTTGGATTGTCTAAAGTATTCTCAGAGGAGAACCATGAGACTAATTCCATCACCAGTAATTAGTTTATGAAAAGGCAGAATCTGGCGAAATACTTATTATTCTTTTTAATTTTGAATCCATCAGTTCGTCTTTAATACCCTATATTTTACTGTTTAAATATTCATAATTCTTTTTTATATTCATAACAATATGATAATAAAAAAATTAATATGTGAAGCTTTATTTACTATTATATTATTATGAATATATAATAAAATTATAAATATTTAGATAAAATTTATGAATAATTTATTTTTTAATAAGAATAATTTAATAATTGATATGATAAAAAATTTTCAAAAAAACTTTAAAAAAATTATAATATTTTAAAAAAATAAATTATTATTTATACATTTAAGAGATTTTATTGCTGTTTTTCCTTTCTTTTTTTACTTATTGATTTCCTTTCCTTTTTTATTTTTTATAATTTTCATTTTGCAAAAGAATAATTATAAATGAAGCGAGCGGTTTGTTAAAGTGAGAAAAATTAGTCGGGAGAAGAAATAGATAGAGAAAAAATTAACAGTCGAGGGCACTGAAAGACTCATATAGACAAACATATATAGTTATCTTAATTATACGCAAATGAGATATTTATTCGATGTCACAGCAAAAAGAATGAAGGAATCAAAGAATGTTTCTCAACGCCGAAGGCGTCCGTAATCAATCCGAAGTTCCGCGATGTGTATCCCGTCGTTATTATACCAGCGTAGAACAAGAAGAGGTGGCGGGGTCATAAAGTGCGGGCAACAGATATTTTCTGCCATTCACGCCATTGGCATTGAAGCTCGCGCCGGTGACTGGGTCCACCAAGAGGTTGCCGGCGTAGCCGGGGAAAGCTCCTTTGCCATAGACTCCGGTGCAAGCCGATGCCGCCTCCAACGGTGCTTCTTTGGGTCCCTGAAAGAATCCATTGCCGAAGGGGTTGGAGACGGTTCCAGCCAACAGGCTCGCCACGTTGATCACCATGCCATCGAGTCCCACATCGTTGTTAGGCGCAACCAAGGGCGGGTTCTGGGGACCATAAATAGGCTGGTGGAACGGCCACGAGCACTGACCGGGACATTGGGTTTCCGAGTTACCGACCCAGATGTAAGCAAAGCTGTGTCTCTTCCCTCGTACAGCAGCGCCCACGGAGGTACCGTGAGTGCCGCACCTGCTGGAGCAGAACCCATCGACGGCAACATCGGAAGCAGTGAGAACCACGTTGATGGCGTCTTTCTGGCCACCCTTGGATGCCAGCTTGGCAACTTGTTGAGTGGTGAGAGATTTGCCGACGGAGTAGGCGTCGTCGAGGACCTGGGAAGCTAGGGAGAGGGACAGCTTGGGGTTGTAGAATTTTTTAATGGTGTTCCACCACGCGGAGACGGTAGGTTGGGGCGTGGCGGGATTGGAGGAGGAGAGGGAGGAAATGAAATCGGAGACAATGGCTTGCTGGGAAGGAGTGAACTTACCGTACCATATGAGGTGGAGAGAGATGTTGCCGGTAAGGAGAGGCCCTTTGTGGTATTGGAACTTGAAGTTTTGGGACGACTGGGAGAGTGTTCTGGCGGCGGTGCTGAAATGGAGGAGGGAGACAGAGAGGAAGAGTTGGAGAACGAGAGAGGAGGAAAAAGAGGGAGAGGCCATAGTGAATGTGAAGCTAAAGGCAGATAGGCAGTGAAGTGAGGCTGTGAAGGAGGAAGAAGGAGGGAAGGGTATTATATAGGAGCCATGAGGGGGAAGGAGCTAGACAAGAAGGAAGAAAGTAGGAAGGCGTGTAGGGAAAGTCAAATGGAGGAATGAATGAAGGCCAGCTGGATGACGCGCTCGCTACATGATTATTAATCAATTAGGGAGCCGCATCGTCAAATGGAGGCCATGGGATTTAATTAAATGAGAGACGGGGACATACAATAATGAGTCATCAAGACATCACAGTAGATGGCCAGCTTAGGCGGAGAGAGACGACAAACTTGATTTGGGCCCTCTGTCATTTATCCGGGCCAGCCTCCTGCCAGCGCCACCTCATCAGGTTCTCCTTCCCCAACTCGCTTGGAGGAAGGTTTTGTCTCATAGGCTATAAATAATAAAATAAATTCTTTTAATGATGTAACGTGAAAAGTATTTATTTAAATATTATATTAAAAATTATTTAAATTGGGAATGAGATTATATTTGTGGGGAATCATTCAGGCTAATAACAATTTTATAATTAAAAATTATTTTTTAATAAAAAGTAAAATTATTCACTTAATAAATGAATGCAACTTTTTTTGAATAATAAAAAAATTTTATGATATCCCTATTAAAAAATTAAAAATTAAATTTATAGTAGTTTAGAGATTTTATAAAAAAAATTATTTTGTAGACATTTTGTAAAAAGCAAACATTATTTTATATTTGGTTAAAAAAGTAATTATTAGTTATAATTGCTTTTAAATTTTATGATATTTTCATTGATTTTTATTTTATAAAAATAATTTATTATATTATTTTAAAATTTAATAATATCTTTATGTATTTCACTTTCTTAAAACACTCTCTCATCTATTGTATTGTTAAAATAATTAAAATATTTTTTTAGATTTTGATTATTTTTAAAAATTTAAACAAACATATTAAAAACTTACAAAATGATTTTTTAAAAAAAATAAGTATTTTTTTATGAAATAAGCTAAAATAAAAGGACCCATAATGTTTGGATAAACACTTTTTACATTGCACCATTTAGATGTTTTTTTTTTCCTGTTTATAGCATGTAGGTAACAAATGCCCTTCGAGGAATGAATGAGACAAGGATGTGGATAAAATGACATAATCACATTCGACATGATATTAAAAATGAGAATATTATTCTGTTTACATCTTTGATCAAATAAAACAAAAGTTTTAATGACAATTAATAAAAGGAAAACAGTACTCCTAACACTTAAAGTAAAAATAAGGTTTAATAAATATGTATTCAAAATTCAAACTTTAATATTATTTTTATTAAAAAATATAAAATTTTAACTAAATTACATTTTTTAATAAAGTAATTAATTGTCTTTCAAATAACATTATCTTTTCACATTTATATTCATGTATTAAAATTTTTACTTTAAAATAAATATAAAGTGATTTATTTATTAGATGTACTTTTGATAAAAGCTCATTAATTACATTTCAAAGTATTAAAAATATCTTATATTTTTAAATATTTAAACCTAAAAAATGTCAAATATTTTTAAGTAAAGGGAGTATACCCTAAAGAAAATTTGTATTTTACCTTCATAGTAAATAATAGCAGTGCAGTAAATTTTACATATATCAGTCATAAAAAATTATCCACTATTCGCATGCAAGCAGGAAAGAGGTTAAGAATTAAATTTCATCGTTTTAATTTAATAAAAAATAATGAAAACTTATTTTCATGTCTCTCCGTTTCCCTCATGTACTAATTACTGCCAAACAGGGGTTTTGTCTTGCGAACTGCGCATCTAGCTATGAATATAAACCACTCCAAACAAAAACGAATAATTCTTAAAAGAGCATGAATTTAACTAACACTTGTATTCTACTATAATTTAAAATGTTTGTATATAACAATCTTAAAATCCCAGAGACTATTGAAAGATAGCATGTTACACAAGTAGCATTCTACATCCCAATATATAACAATTTTGGTTTTGGGAGTAATTTTATTCATGAGCTGACGCGGCGGAATGGGCCGGAGCTGTCAATTAAGATTTAAGAGAGTCACGTAGTCTCTCCCTCAGCGGTTCGTGTCTGTTTGATACATTATTGCAAACTGTAGGCATTCGGAGCAGCAAGGTTTGGAAATGGCCAAACGGCGATAGGGTCCGAGAAAGGTATAACGGCACGATAGCATGCAAAGCAAGGCACGGCAAAAGGAACGAGGTGGCCGCAGCCGCACCACACTTTCAAGGCGTCCCCTTTTTATCTATTCAATTCGTACTGATCTGTTTTGGCGCCATTTCGAGTTTGCCGGAACTTCACGGAGAGGGCACGGCCAGCTAAGGATAACAGAGTCACAGACCCCTTAACAAGCACAACAGGACAATGGTGATGCCACACTCGGACAAATTCGATTGATCCTATTAACAAGCCCATGCCCTACCAAGATTACCAACATTCCTGGCTAGTCCTGCTGCACATCTTAGTTCTTTTGCGTTGTTTGAGATTACGTATTTTCTGTCGTTGCCAAATCTAATCGTAATTATTGTTAATAATTCTTATTGTTTGTTTGTAGTGTACAACATGAAAACAAATACTAGTTTTTATTATCATCATGTCAAGTTGCACGGTAAATTAAAACAATCAATTCATGTCCAATTATGGTTAGCAAGTTGGCATTGAGGGCCCATGATTAGCATTCATAGGGAGTTGTTAACGGACAACGGGAGCTGATCAAAAGAAAACGAAGCAGGCGTTTCGTACAGAGAACATCGCAAATTTGAACTATTAGATTGGATTTAATAATTTAAACTTGACAGTTTTTAAAAAATACATTAATCCGGGTATCATTGAAATATGATCCATGCGGTTCATGTTTGCAATAAATGCGTAGAAGGTAACCAAGTTCAAAACACTAAACCAATGAGCTGGTTCTATTGACCTCCAGAATGCCGAATTCTACATACAGAGCATTAATCCAGTTCGATGATTTCATTCTTTTTTTTTTTTTGGTACTTAGCGATCGCAAGAGTTTCCTATTCGTAAATGCAGATATCGGTTAGCCTGGTCAGTGAATCTTATCCCTAGTTCTCATCTCCAGTGATGTAAAAATATCTCCTCTTTCACGAATCTTTAGGCATGGGCGTTCAGTTAAACTCAGCGAAACATTAGCGAAAGACAGGAATGAGGAGTTTTCCAGGGGAACACTGGTGAGAAGAATGATTTAAAGCAAACATAAGTAAATTTGCTTTTATGTCATGAATAACAGGGACAACCAAAAAGAAATAAACAAATGAATGAATACATCCTACACATTATGCTTATACAACCTACGAATTCCGTGTTTCTAACCACGTAGCTATAACAGGCTAATCCGTATCTATCTTCACACGAGCGTGGAGCAAGTGGAAGTAGAAGGATCAAACAGAGCAGGAAGGAGATACTTCCTGCCATTAGCACCATGAGCATTGTAGCTTGAACCAGTAGAAGGGTCCACCAATAAGTTCCCGGCATATCCAGGGTAAGCTCCTTTCCCATAAACGCCGGGACAGGCGGAAGCAGCTTCGAGAGGTGCCTCTGCGGGACCCTGGAAGAAGCCATTTCCGAAGGGGTTGGTGGCGGTGCCCGCCAAAAGGCTAGCCAGGTTGATCACCATTCCGTCAAGGCCTACATCATTGTTGGGAGCGACCAATGGCGGACTCTGGGGACCATATATGGGCTGGTGGAAAGGCCAAGCGCACTGACCAGGGCACTGAGTCTCCGAGTTACCAACCCAGATGTAAGCGAACTTGTAGTTCTTGCCCTTCGCGTGTCCCACAGAGGAGGATCCGTGAGTCCCACATCGGCTCATGCAGAAACCTTCCACTGCGACATCAGCAGATGTCAAAACGACATTAATGGCGTTTCTCTGATCGCCTTTCGAGGCCAATTCCACCAGCTGTTTGCTTGTGAGAGATTTTCCCAACGAGTAGTTCTCGTCCAGAATCTGCCTGCCCAGAGAGAGGGAAAGAGCAGAAACCTTCTGGTTGGTGAGATGGTAGTATTTCTCGGTCGTCTTCCACCAAGAGGCGACGGAGGGTTGGGAGGTTTGAGCAGGTGAAGATGACAAGGAGGTAACGAAGTCGGAGATTATGGCCTTTTGGGAAGGCTTGAATTGGCCATACCATATGAGATTGATAGATATTTTGCCAGAGAGGAGAGGACCGTTGTGGTAATGGAGGAGCTGGGAGTACTGATCTTGAGCCAGCTCGCTCAGCCTCCTGGAGGCGAGAGAGAGCTGAAACACCGAGATCAAAAGAAAGATTTTAAGAATGCATTGAGAAGGGACGAGAGCACCCATTTTTTTTTTTTTAATAACTTCCTCTCTTAGGGCTTGGGAGATGCAGGAAGAGGAAAATGAGAGAGCTGGAAAGTTGGCTTGTGTGGATAGAGATGAGAGGGAAGAGCGGTATATATAGGTGCCAGCACGAGCGTGGTTTAGAATGGGGAAATTTCGCAAATACAAATTAATGGGAGTAAAATTGTGGGTCAAAAAATTGTATGGTGGTTTAGAACGCAGTTAAGGAAGATGCTGAGAAGGAGACAGCGGTGAGCCAGTGAGAGTGGCTAGTGGGCTAGTGGCATTTACGAGCCAGGACTTGCCAGGCAAGAAAAGTTGAGGAGGGACCCAAAACGGTACTATTAAGCGCGTTTCTTTATTCGAACGTCTCGTGGCGAGACCAGCAAGTTCAAGTTGTGAGTGGAGGGGTGAATTGCACGCTCGATTCAAGTGGAGCGTGAGGGTCAAAGCATTATATAAAACGCGCGGAGTGGTTCCGGGCAGGCATTTTAAAAAAAGAAGTGTGAGCTACAAAGCCGACGCATAAGGAAAAAGAGCAACCTTTGTGGAAATGAGTGTGTCGTTTTTTCCTCGTGGTCGCTACCGAACAAAAAGCATTCCAGCTTATGTCCAGTTCGGATATTTGAAAGCAGCCATTCTCAATAATGCCCTTCGCACGGACCACCGCATCCAAGGCCGCAGGAGCATTAGCATACAATGAACGAATAGGAATACAATAAATTTGAATCTATGAATTTATTTTTATTTTTATGTTTTTTTAGCGCATATAATATATACAGCATTCTAGATTTTAAATGCTTTGAATTGAAACCGAGAAGGCAGAAGGGGGAAGCGTAGGGGAGACGTTGAAATGACAGCCTGGATGGTCTGTATTTTATTGGGAACAGGGAGTGGATCCAGCTGGCAGACACCTGGTGGGAGCTCCGAAGAGAATCCGAGGAAGCACGTGACATGACGCGCCCCCTCCCGCTATACCACTCCCCAGGCACGTGATATCAATTCACGTCTCCGCTCGCTCAACGTCACTTTAGACTTGCCTTTTACTCTCCGTTTAAAAATATAAATTTTTTTTAAAAAAATTAAATACTTAAAAATATAAAATATTTTTAATTTTTTAAAATATAATCATTATTTTTAAAAATGTCTCTATTAATAATAACATTATATTTATTATAAAATATTTAATAAAAATAAATATAAAAAAATAAAATTACTTTAAAAGTAAATAACTACTTTATTATATGTGAGATTTAATTAAAAATAATTTATATTTTTTAATAAAAAAATATTTAAAAAAATTGGAGTGATGGATATAATATTATTACTCTCTCTTATTTTATTTATAAATTATTTTTAATATATTTTATTAAAATTTAAAAAAATTTAAATTTATTAATTTTATTTTAAAATTTAATAAATTTTTATTTTTATCCTTAATAAATATTTTTAGATTTTATTATTAATATTTTTATTTAATATATTTAATAAGAGCAAAAATATAAAGAGTAATATTAAAAATTGACAGGTGCCTATAAATAGAATTAAATATTTATTTTCTCTCTCTACCCTATAAATAAAATCAGAGTAAAATTTATTATAAATGATCATAAAAATTAAAATTAGAATGAAGGATTAAGACAAGTATAATTGATTATTATAATTTTAATATAAGACCTGTTAGTAGTACCTTAAAATTAACATGGAGCACTTTATAAATTGCAAAAAAATTATTTTAAAAATAAAATTATGCAGTTTTTATCCACGCATATAAAAACAAAAGCACAGCATTGAATTTAATTAAATCAATATAGTTTTAAAGAAGTATTTATTTTTAATAATTAATTATTGAATATAATTTTAAATATTTACTTTTAACAAATTATTATATTTTATTTTTTTCCATTGGTTTAAAAAATTCTTTAGTATCAGCTTATCTTTTTATAATTTTTTAAACATTATGTGGAATGAACTATATATAGTGACAATCTATCCATAGCCACTTGCAATGCAAACATCATACAAAAAGAACTGAACACTTTTGATCCATAGAATTCCATATCCATATTGCTTTCTTCTTCATCTTAAAAGTTGTGTTTGTTTTTTAAAATGAATAATAATAATAGTAATAATAATAATAATAATAATAAATTACTTGTCTCTAGCCACACGGTGCCGTGGCATAAGAATTTTTAAAAAGCACAAAAAAAAAAAACGGCTGTTCCTAATTCCCATAGCATAAATCCGGCCCTAAATTACTTGATGGGTCACAGACATGAGATGCATTGCACCTGTCAAATTAATTAAAAGCTGATGACATATCCATAACCTAAGATCACGAGAATATTATGTTAATCACTATCCAAGGGGTAAGTTGGATTCACGAGGACAGGGGATATTAAAATAAGACGAGTGAGGTGTAATGAATTGATTAAGGGAGGACATAGAATAAAAAGAACAAGAGAAAGCGTGGCCGGCGTCCGCATACAATGGCCAAAAATCCCTGTATTAGTAAACAAACAAGACAAGTACAGCGACTCTCTCGGTGCCTTCGCCTCTGGACTTAAACTGCCTGGTTCCCAAGCCCCAGACAGTGTCACGCACACACAAGGAATACTATAATACGCGCCACTTCCACAAGGCCCCACGAATCTTACCTTACAAATATGTTTCTTCAAACTTCTCACACCTCATCTTTAATTCAGAATCAAATTAATTAACTCCAGACTTGTATACGATACGAGTATTAGGGATCCTGGGGCTTTGATTGAAACACACGATCCACACACACACAAATCTGCGCGTCTTCTCAGGAATCAGGAAGAGCCTGCTGGCTGCTCCTCTCCATTCGTCATAATCTAGAAGGGGCAAATTATCTAATCTCTAGCCATGAATGTTTAGTCACAAAAATGAATATTATTTATTTTTATTTGAGGGGAAATATTATGTGGCGCCTGCCCATGTTTTGAAGCTCCTTGATTTGAAGGTTGCCACTATGTATGTGTGAGGACGAGAACCTTCGTAGAAGAACATGGCGAGCGTTGGAGTCAATGATCCACCCGTCCTCACGCAACGCGTTACCCAATTATATAATAAACTTGTTTGCTACAGCTGCAAATAGCTAGAATCGAACCCAAAAAGGCGACTTTGGCCATGGGAGTTATTTGATTAATTATGCCCACCCTACATCAATCTGTCAACTATTAGCATGTGTTTGAAAACCCCACCTGAAGACAAAAATTTATCTCCTTTTTTTTTTTAGTGGGAGAATATAGCGCTAAAAGGTTATGGCGTTATGCAGTTGAATTATCGGTTACTGAAATTTGTCATTTATTTTGAATTTTGTAAATTTAAAAAAATCGTGACAAAAAGTTATCGAATTTTATATCTCGCATTTGTGCCATTTAATTTGTTTTCGAATGAAATCTTCCATTGGTCATATTTGCAGCGGATTCGTGATATATTCGTGGCGGAGATTCCCTTTTTTTTTCTTCTGTTTGTTGGTCAGAGTTCAATATAGCAGCTGGTTATTTTGCCGCACAATAATTAAATTAATAAACAAAAGAATGCATTACATGGACGATTGCATGTAATAAGTAGGACTTTTAATGAGCTGGTTTATTTTAATAACTTCGAATAAGATAGGGTATTGAATAAGCACAGCTTTGGTCAAAAAAAAAAAAAAAAAAGCACAGCAAGCGAAGATTTGGTGATTCCAGCAAGGAGTAGAGGTAGTAGGAGGGGATAACGCAGCATGTCTAAAGGCAATATAAGATAATATAATTAAGCAGATTGAATGTAACTAAACTTGCAGACATGGTCAGTCCATAATTGGGATTATTAAGAACAAAGGCCGTGTTGCTTCAATGTTGCGTCCTTGTCCCACATCCCCTAATCACACACAAACTTCACTCCTTACGGGTTACACAATCATGCTAATTTAATAGCAGCTGTATTACAAGTAACATGGAATAAATCTAATTCAAAATACGCGAGCGCGCGCGCGCGCGTTTTTTTGACATTTTACTGATGCAAATGCAATAATATGAGCGTAAGTTCGTGGTGTCTGTGTGTGTTGCATGAAACAGCAACAGCACGGTGGGACGGGGTCTTTAAGGGCCCTTCTAATAAGGAAAAAGAAGGGTGGCCTTAATCAGATGACCATACCAAGGAATGGAAGGTCTTGTGGGGGGTGGGTATGGTTGTACCATGGCCCATATTCTTTCCATATCTCGGTCCTACCTGCGTGTATATCATCAATGAGCAAACACCTCCTATTATTCTCTACCCTATTATAACACAGTTAGACCCCACAAAGTTTTAATTGTAAGTCCTGAAATTGTTCTTTCTGTGGGCACTACCGGCCACTCATCACGCTAATTAATAAAGGAGTACAGCTGAAGATGGACGTGCATCATGTATGAGTCTATTTTCTCTCTCTTTCTGGATATGCGAATTAAGTAAGTATATAGGGAGAGGGTCTCTTTATTTTTTTTCCCTCTCTTTCCTTTCAATTCTCCCATCTTCACCATTTAAATTATTTTATTAAATAATTTTTTTAAATAATAAAATTAATGAATGGTAAGATGGGAGAAGTGAAAAAAAATAGAGAAAAAAAAATGGAGAGATTCTATCACAAGTATCTATGTCATGTTTGAAACTCAACATACTACCTCCTGGCAATCTGATAGAGCTGGTGATTCTCACAAGATTTGGATGTCATTTCCTAAGATCTGTGGTTAACAATCTAGGAAGGAAAGTGATGTGGAGAAGGCTAAACATCAGTGTACAAGAAATTTATTCCAACGGTTTTATCTGTAGGATTAAAATGGTAAAGGGCAAGTCAGGTTAGGTGAAGCTAAAGGTATAGGTAGTGCTGGTAGGGGAATGACCGCTTTTCAGCTCCTTAAATCTATCCATTCGTGCAGAAGGAAGGGTGTCGCGTATTTTTGGAAAATTATGATCAAATGAGGAGAGTTTTGGCCTTTTGAATACCAGATTAGGGTTTGAAGAGATCACTGTTTTTCATCATTTTTTTCCCTACTTTACTACAAAGGTGTTTAGTTTGGATTCATTTTGATTGATCCGATATCTTCTC